CCAAAAAATCGCATTGGGTTCTTTCTTACTATATTTTATTATTGAACCAGAGCAATCCATTAAACAAATCCACATTAAATTAAAATAAAAAATAAAGGGAAAAACCTAAACCCACARAAAAGAGCAAAGTAGAGGAAAAAACCTAATAACCCAAGGAAAGGAGTAATGATTTGTTTAGATTGGTTCACCCCATGTACTAGTGGGCAAATTTGGGTCCAAACTAAGGTTTATATTTAGGTTAACCCTTTACCTAACATAACCCATCTAATTTACACCCTACTTTATTAGATAGAGTCAAAAGGGATTGAGAGATATTTAAGAGGAAAATAAGGATTTAATGGAGAGGGAAGATATTATAATCATTGACTATTGAGGTGTGTGTGTATGAAAGAAAGAGAGAGAGAGAGAATAAATATGGATTTTAGGAGGGACAATAAAGATCCATGAGTTTTTAATAATGAGAGGGCCTTCACCTCATCTTTCCTCTTATATATATTAGGAGCCCATATTACTTTATCAATGCTTCCATTGAAAAAATGGGTGCTAGAATCTTGGCACCCTCTTTTTGTTGAAAAAGATTAAAAAGTAAGAGCTTATTCCAATTTTCTTGAAGATAGGGAAATTAAGTCCCTAATCTTCACACCTTTGGCATCCATTGGAAGGTGTCCATTAGGCAAATAAAACCTTGACCCAAGTTAATCTAGGGGTTATCCCAAATGTCTAACATTAATTGCGCATGAATCTGAAAGCCATCGAAAGATCTAACTCTCTTAATTCACCAGCTATCACTTTCCAAGTAGGAGAAGAAATGGTAGGAATTTTTCTCCTAGGGATCCCTCTCTCTGTTAGAAAGATACTTGCTCTTCAACAACTGAACCCAGAGACTATTATTCTCATTTAGAAAGCACTATACTAATTTACCATTTAATGATTTATTCAAGATTTCTGGGGGTGGACAAAACAGTAAAAACCCCATAGATTTTAAGAATTGGGTTTATAAGATTATGGAGCTTCACCTAGTTTGAGTTTGTGTGGAATAGTCATATTCTTTTATTATGTTATTTTAGAGTTTGAATTTGTTATAGTTGCAATTTAGGCTTCGTTTGCTTTTCAGTAAGTTATTTACCCGGATAAATACAGTTACTTGGGTAAGTTTTTCCTGGGAAACACTTACCTAGGTAAGTGCATTTACCCATGTTCTTTTGTTTCTCATGTAAATAAGGCAATGACCATTTTAGCCATAAAAATCCATTATTAAAAATGACATTTTTGTCCCATTCAAGTGTTGGCAACTTCTCCCTAGGTGGGAAAGTTATTTATCTACCTAGGAGATGAGTGAGTAAGTGATACCCAAGAAAATAAACTTTCCCTAGTCCCCATATAAATCTGAAAAAGAATATGGATTCTTGGTCAATGGGAACCAAAACCACATTGACCAACTTTCCCCCTCTCAAAATCCAAAAAAAGAGAATGCCCCCTAGAAGTGTTATTCCCTTTCCTTAGCGTGTGAAAATATGATACTCTTTGTATCATGTTTTTTCAATAGCATAAATTTTCCTTAAGAAATTAGAGCCAATTCTTGGTTGAATAGTGAATTCATTTGAGAGAGCTTTGTGAAAATTACTACAAATTTTTAACAAGAGAGTACTATTTCATTACACTAGGTAAAATATTTGGACCAAGGTTCAAAGTATCGGAAATGCTAAGTGTATCGAAAAGACAAATTTAAGAGACATATCGGGATATGCCTTGGATATGAACGAAAAAATAAGATATGCATGGAAACACATGAAAATATTATAAATAATTCAATAAATCATAAATATGCATCAATAGCATTAAATATAGGGCCTAACTGAGCTATATATACATAAAAATCACATCCTTTAGTGATTTTTATGAAAAAATATATCATAATCAACATACAAAAACATAAGGGTATTCTCTAATAAGGTTATAACTACAAAATATAAGTTTAATAATTATTTAATGAAGCATTTCCTATAATTTTTAAGCAATTATTTATTTCTTACTCAAACAATTATTTTATTTTTTATTACAAAAATGAAAAAATAAAATGTAACAGAAAAAGTAATTTTATGGATGTGATAGATCATCTATAGATTTATAGCATGAAAAATATTATGGTTAGGTCATACCAAAAATTAGAAACAAATCTAAAATTACAAAAGTTAAAAATAAATATTTTAATTTTTACAAAAAATAAATATTTTTTCATACTAAAAATAAAAATAAATATTTTTATTTAAAAAATTTGAAAAAAATAAAAAATGAATATTTATAAATTTTGATAGATCTATGGATATGGTCGATCACCCATAGATCTATGACACAATTATTTCGTCATGGGCAGGCTACAACAAAAATATATAATTTTATTTTTTTGTTGTTATTTTATATTTTTTATAAATTTTCTTCAACAAATTAAATAGATCTATTTAAAGCAGAAAAATATAGTATTTTCAACATAAGGAGAGTATATAATACTTTCAAGCATTAAAAAACACATAATATTATAACATATTACTAAATAATTTGAAAAAAAATATTTTTTTTTTCAATTTTGTAAGAAGTTGAAAAAAACCTACAAAATCTCAAGTTTTGGAGGTTGTTTTTGAGTTTTTTAAAGATATTATAAATTTACAATCCAATAATGTGTAGGGATGATTGGGTGAGTTTAGGAAAGAAAGAAAGCTTTTGAAGAGAGTTAGAAGTCTTTTTTCTCAAACATTTTTTATTCATTTTTGTCTAGAGGAAATCGTATTGTATTGGTCGATACACCCAGATACAATTATGATACGGTCCTGATACACCCAGATATAGGTCCGACACGCTTCGATACGGTCATGATATGGGGTCAACACAATGAAAATACTTGATACAAATGATATGGGGTCAATACATGGGTCAATAAGTTTTGAAATTTTGAACCTTGATTGGGACATCTACAAGTTTTAACTTTATGTACTATGATTTAAATTTTATGGCCACGTTATAAATAATGATAAAAAGGCAAAGATAAAAGTATCAGCTTTACATGATATGATTCCTTGGTTTAACTTTTGCAGATATGCATAGAAACCAAAGCAAGTATTGACATTATATGTTACTAGTGTAAGAACACCTATGCATTTAGTGTGCAACTTGTGACTTGGTGACCGGGTATAACAAGTTCAACCACCTGGGTCATAAGGTTTTTGACTAAGTCAATGGATTTTCACCAAATCCCAATTTTAACTAAATTAGAGCCAAAATCATGGCCGGATGACAGTTCAACTGTTTGGGTCAAGGCATGTTGAAAATACTATTTTTATGTTGGCTGAGAAAACAATAAACTGAGTGAGCATGATTGGTTGATGGTGGGAGAACATCAGACATCAGTTATTGGAGATACTCAATGTACAAGGGGTTTGCCCTTATTTAAATATGAGGGTAAAATAAGGGATTTGTCCTTATTTTAAAAATTTAGTCAATTGTTAGAAAACTTTGAGGGTATTTTAAGGGATTTGCCCTTATTTAAATATGATATGATTTAGGTATGACATCTGGTTGATTGGTTATAAGTATGGGTGCTTACATTTTGATTAAATTGAACCGATACTACTGTTTTTTGCAATTTCCTAAACCCAAACTGAACCGATACTACTAGTTAATCAATTGATCAAACTGGCAATTTTTTTTTAAGTCAATAGAAAATCGAACTGCTCTTCTGTTTTTCAAAAACCGATTGATTTGATTGACTGTATTTTTTATTGATTTTTTTTTTCAGTTTGGTTGGATTTTTTTATGTTTTATAGGCTCCATTTGGTTTTTGGGAGGAAGGGAAAATATGGAATATTCTAGAATATTCTTTTCTTCTCATGTTTGGTTTATGGGATATCATTAGATGTGATGGAAAAAAAAATAAGTGGGAATGGAGGGGGAACTTGTTTAACAATAAAAAACACGTACTTAGTAGTATTGTTAGAACCATGGCCCATTAATAAATTATTAATTATTTAAAAACATATTAATAAAACAATTTAATTAAAGATAATTTAATAACTCACTAATATGTCAACATAAAATATTAAAATTATTAATTAAGTTATAAGTATTAATCCAACAAAATATAAATAATAAAATATAAACTAATAAAAATTAAAATATCATAATTAATAATTATTTGATAAATGATAATTAAATACTAAATCATAAAGTATCATTAATTAATTAATAATTAACAACAAAATCATTAATAATTAATTAACTAATATTGAAATAATTATAATAATAATTTAATTAAAACAAATGAATAAATACATTAGAACAAAATAATTAATCAATGAAATATTATTAATAATTAATACTAAAATATTTAAATTATTAATTAAGAATATGTAGTAATAAAATAAAATATTAATAATTGAATACCAACTAATAAAGATTGAAATATTAATTAATGATAATAGTTAATTAATTATTAGTTTTAAATAATTAATAATAAAATACTAAATAAAAAACATGTATTATCAACTAACTAATAATTAATCAATAAGTAACAACAAAATGGTTAATAATTAATTAACTAAATAGTAAATTAATTAATAAATAATAAACATTTTAAATATTTAAAAACAATAAAAAGTATTAATAAAATAAATGAAAATTAAAATATTATTTCTTAATGAATAATTAAATGACTAATTCTCAATATTAGTTAATTATAATTAATTAATAAAATAATAATAATTACTAATTAATTAATAATAAAAATATTATTAATTACTTAATTAATTGATTAATAATTGTTATTAGAGTTGATTTTTTTAATATTTTCGCTTTTGCAACCAAACAATAGAATGTAAAAAAATTTCACTATTCCTTTTAGTCCCATCCCATCCTTTCCCGATCCCACCTATTTTCCCTCAAACCAAATACAGCCCTATGAACAGCTAAGTTTGTATCTCATAGATTCATAGTCGAATGTCGATAAAGGAATAGCGCGAGGATAAGTTCGTAACTAACTAATACCTATGAGTTGTGCTTGTGGCCGCCAAAACCTAGAAACGAAACGAAGCCCATAACTCGTCACCCCGCAAAAGCCCTAAGCAGAACATCTACTCTCTTTCTCTTGTGTTTCCTGAACTCTGCAACTCGGTTGTTAGGCAGTGACCAGACTGCGATAATGTCTCGGGGAGAAGGAGGAGGAGGACAGAGTTCAGTAATTCCAGAAGGAGTAATGGAGGCAGTGAATAGAAGCCTAGTAAACGTGGAAGAGTTGAGAATCCACTTGCTGGAATTCTTGTCCATCTCCGAGCCAGACGTTCTTGTTGAGATGCCCCCTCTTCGACGCGCTCAAGCGCTCCTCCTGCTCGCTAAAGCCACTTTGACTCTCTTCACATGTAAAATCTCCTGAATTAGTAGATTTTCCTTTTTGTAGTTATTCTAGTAGATTGACACTTCGAATTCTCTGAACAGTACGTTTGAGGTGTAGTGGAGTTCATCCAGACGACCATCCTGTTAAGACAGAGCTTGTAAGATTTTATACTGCTATGTTTGATTCTTATTTTGGTTTTGATGAGCTGGGTTACTCGACTAGGAGGTTCTGAGTAATGGGTTTCTCTTAATTTTGAGTTGTAGGAGTAATTTTATATTGCTTTTGACGACCTGTACCTCTCTATGTGGAGGTTATGATTAACAGGTTTTCTCTTAATTTTGGATTGCAGGAGAGACTAAGCTTATACCAGGACAAACTACAACGGTTTGTGGACTTGAGCAAAGGTATTCTGCTTCAGGACTTTATTATTTCATTTTTTTATTTGAACTGCAGATTCCTTTTCGCGTTCTTTTGATCTTATAAGGTTGACAGGAGGATCTTTCTATTAAAAACTTGTTATTTCAGAACCTCTGCGGCCTTCTACTACATTAAACACTCGAGCAGCCACTCGTTTTATTGAGCATTCTTTACCTGATCTTACGCCGGGTATGCCAATTATTTCATTAGTGGTTTATGATATTTTTCTTGTTTCTGTTTTGGCTTTATTTTGATGAAGGGTTTTTTATTTTGTTTGCAGAGCAGAGGCAAAGTATGAGGGATGTCAGTAGAGGAGAGGGGGTAAGGAATAAGTTTCAAGAAAAGAGGAGTGCCCACAAGAAGAGGAAATTTCAGTCTTCTGATAAACAATCTGTTCAGACTGCTGCCCAAGAATTCTTGGAGAAAGCAGCACGGGAGATTCTTGGTGAAAATAAAGGTGATTTTAAGGGGCCTCTTAGGATCGAGAGCTCAGATGGAGAGGACATGCCGTTGTCTTGATTCTCGTTTTGTTTATCCAGGTAGACTTGGGCATTGTTCCTTTATGCACTTTACAGTAATCAATTTTCTTTTCATTTGAATTCAATGGAATAATGCTACTCAATGTCTCAATTGCGTCAGTGTCAGAGATCTTCCTTAACAATGTGAAAGCCAACAGAGTCTGAGACCATTCTATTTGTCTCATGTACTATTAAACTAATTAACTTATCTTTGCTTTCAGTTATCATTTTACAAAATGTTTAGAAATTAACTAAACCCAGCTTTCACAAGTTTCCACTAAAAACTTTGTAGGAATAGCCTAAATTTTGATGGTAGTACCCTAGGCAATCCAGGGCCATCCGTTATTGGGGGAGTTTTCAGTAACACTGAGGGTCAAATTGTTGTCTTATTCTCTGGTCCTATTAGAGTGGGGAATTCAGTTAATGCGGAAGTCTACACAATGTTACAAGGAGCAAAGATTGCTAAAGAATTGAACATTGGACATTTGTTAATTGAAGATGATTTGAAAATGGTAATTTGGTGGCTGAAAGAATTGGAGGCAGTGGCTTGGTCCTATAGGGGGGTTTTGAGAAGATTCAAATGGCTAATCACAAATATGACAGTCAGTTTTCAATGGGAAAGGAGATTGGCAAATGGAATGGCATATTCTCTAGCTAAACAAGGGGTGCATAGGAATCATCTATTTTGGGCTCAATTGTAATATTTTTGCCTTGTTTTGAGGCTGCAACCTACGCCTTTTTGTGGGAAGCATCCACTGTGTATCTTTTTTATTGATTCTTAAAATGATATCTTCTATTACTTGTTAAAAAAATTCTCGGAGATCCTTTTGTTGATATCTTATCTAACTGAATAGCTCTTGGATGCCTCAAATTCTTCTAATAGTAGCCTTTTCACAACCTTCTTAGAACATTACAACCCTTCTCAAATAACGAAATAAATGAATAACCTATCCTTCTGTTTAGTGCTTATTGCTCTCCTTGGGGGGGGGGGGGGTAGTTACTAGCTATAAATTGATGAGAATTGCAAGTGTGCTTGACAGAAATAACTTGATCACCACGTATATTCTCTCCTTGGGTGCTTGGGACATGTTTTGAATTTTTTTATTGCCAATCTACTTGGTTTACTGGCAAGCTGTGAGACCCAGATGTCCTTCCATTTATTCAAGAGAGTCCCGTTGAATGTTGCCAAATGGCCCAAACCATAATTAGTGTAAAAGACAAACACACAGATATCACTTGTCAAAAACCAGTAAAAAATGGAGTTGCTTTTTTTTTATAATAAAAAATTATTAAAATAATATGACATACAAGTGAATGATAAGAAATCACCAAAGTATAACAATGAAGAGATTGGCGACTTCATCCCATCAGTACCAACAAAAACTGCCCCTCAAAATCCAAAATAAAACATTTATTGATAGCTTGACAAAATTCAAAGGAAAAAAACCAAATCATCCCAAAATTCTCAAAAAGACTTTCAATAAGACTCAAAAAACTCCCACCCAATCCCTCCCTCTCACTTACCTCCAAAGTAGGAATGCAACTTGTTGGGAATTTGTTAAAATTTCAATAGGCCTGATGTAGCTGAAGTTCCATAGCCTCTACTGATTCTCAACCTCAATTCCAAAACATTCTTAATTGAGTTTATAAAGGATTAATTCTTTCTGCCCTCTAAACTCTTTGAAAATTTTCCTGGAAAATTCATCCCACCTAAAAATAATATGCCAATCTTTTGCTCATATCCACCTGCCTGTCAATCACCCTATTTAAATCAACCTTCCTTTCAATTTTGTAAATTTCATCAGTTGCAACAGCATCTTTTCCCCCTGCTTCATTCTTAACTTCCTCATCCTCCTCCCTGTTTATTTCTCCTTCACTGTCCTTCTTAGTGCCTAGTGCCTTCTTTATTCGTTATTGGCCATGTTCTAAACTTGGATTTCTTGATAGAGGAGCACATCTAATTTTTTTCACCCATTTTTATTCCAGAATAATCCCCCATAATGGTTTCCAAACTAATTTTCTCCTTTTTTTTGGGGGGGGGGGGAGACTAGAGACTTTCAGTGATATTCATGAAAATGGTAGGAGGAAAGGGGCTTGAAAAAGAAGTTGACTGTTGTCTGTTATTGCAGCCTACCTTCTCTGCCTCATTATAGAAAATACTGGTATCCTTTCTTTTGTTTTCTCTGCCTTGTTAAAGACAGTTCGGTATATTTTTCCCTTGTTCTAGTAAGATCCATGTTTCTGAATCACTTGTGACTTGTGTTTCTTTTTCTGGTAAGTTTTAAGTCAAGTGGTATCCTAATTTGGTTCTTTTTTCAGTAGATAATTCTTTGCTAAAATTTAGGATAACGTTTCTTTCTAGTGTTAGTGCTAGATCTCTTAGACTGTTATTTCTTTTCTTTTTCATGGATTAAATCTACTTATTTTTTTTTTTTTAAATCTAGGTCAGGAATTTATTGCAAGGAGAAGTTAGGACTTAGGAGTTGACAAGATGAAAAAAATGCATGTTACAGAAACAAAGGAATTAAAATAGGTAATTAATTATTCAATAGCATTGTTTATGTTGTCAGCCTGCTGGTTGGTATGGTGTTTTAGCTGTTTGACCCCATGCCTGATTTCTTTTTATGGGTTTTTAGACAGTCCTTTGTTTCTTTACATTGGTACGGATTTCTTGTCATACGCTTACTACAGTGGGAATGTTAAAATTCAGCAAATGGACCCACACTACCAATGTAGAAGAGCATAAACACTGCTCAAATACGCTCAAGGAAAAATGGAATAAAAAATGAAAAGCCGCATCTGTTTTCATTACTATAGTTGTTGTCCATGAGAGATTTCATATTACCCCTCCAATAGTCCAACCATAGCATAGATGGAGATTCAGATAAATGGTGAGGTAGCCAGGTAGGGTGCAATCAGCTAATGAGATCTGAATCTGCTAACATCATTGTTTCTCCAGTAAGTGAATTGACGCTGCCCATACTCATGCAAACATCAAGAGACCATCTATACATGACTCTGGTTGGTTGCCAATTGCTGACATGAACTCAAATGGCTAGAAGCCTAGAATACTTGCTTAAATAACGATCTGTCATTAAATATTAGTAATTTCACAAACTCAACTGTGCTTAACTTCCCCTTTTTATCAGTACTCAAAAGATACTTCATTAGAAATGAAGAACTTATCAAAAGTTACAATTTTGAACCCAAATCTGCCCGAAATAATTGATCCCTATGCACCCCTTATTTTGCTTAAGTATCAGCCTAACTTCCTTTTTTTACTGCTTGGAAAATTAAGGTATTAACTTTTGAAACAAAAGAAGCTATGACAGTCCAAAGAATCACAACATGAAAGTAATGCTAGTATGCTACTGAGATTTACTAGTGAACCATGAGGGTTTTTTTGTATCTCATATCTTGACATGACCAAGCTACCCTAGAAAGAGGCAAGGATTCCTTGGTAACCATGAATAAAGAAGTTGGGAGTAGGATAGTTGGCTGATGCTAGTGGGTTTTATATAGGATCCTACATTATACACCATATAACCATGTTGGTGTTTCAAGTCTCTGACCAAATCATATCCCAGGCTATGTGGAGACTCTATAACTTGATGTGTCTTATTAGTATAGTCCTTGTTGTACATTACTTATACTTCTTATTCTTCTTTTCTCTTTCAGCCCTATATGGGCATTCTTGCAATTGTACATACCTTTTAATATATAAGAGACTCTTTGAGGTGGGGGTCATTCATTCTTGACATCACTAAGATTATTCTTGTTCTTCTCTCTATTCAGACAAGAGTGTTGACATGGTATCASAGCAGGTTGCTCTCTGATCTATTTTCTCTCTCTCGTGAAACTCACTAGAAGCAGTAATCCTGTCATACTAGGGCTATTTTGATCAACCCTTTTCTGTTCAGTATTCTTTGCGCAACCAGCAGGAGAGATTTCGTTAGATCTCTCTTGTGAGACATTGGTTCGAGGCCAAACTTCAGATCTGGTGTCGCCTAGACCTGATCTATTTTACCTACAAACAACATCTGATTTTGTGAAGTTTTTGAAGGAGTTCTAATCTTCTTGGGGCTATAACAATGTACAATTTCCTTTTTTGGACTATAACTTTTTTTGGACTTCTGGCCTTCTACATCAGCCTACGATCTGAGTTCCTTCTCTCCAGATTGAAGGGTCCTCTCAAGCTCTTTTTAATCCTACACTCAGTTTCTGGTTTGGAGATTTCTAGGGACTGTTTCAATCAATCCAAGATATCTTTTTATTTTTTAAAAAGACGCCTGCTGTGTTGATAAATCACAGTTTTCTCTCAATCGGCTGACTCGATCAACCTATAACCCTGGATCTGGTGTTGTTCTAGGGTTTTCTTGCTTCCCATTTATTTGATTCAGACTTCAGGTTCATATTTGAAGGGTTTTAGACTTGATAGTCTTAAAACTTGCCTTTTTGGACTGCCATCCCGAGTTCTTGATTGCTGAATTTGGTTGTCTCTGATATCCTTGTGACTGGACTGTTGTTTTCTTGCTGGAATGGCCTCCAATAGAGAAGATATTATTCCCATAAAGCTAGAAGGATCAACCTATGGAATTGACACTACTGCTGTAGCACATGGGAGTAAGAAATCTACTATTGGTGGTGATTCTTTTGTTAAAGGTGATTCTCTAGCATCAATGGTTGAGGAAAACATTCGACAACTGGTAACTTCTGCTATTTCTGCTATTGGCTTACCTGGTGAGTTTTTCGGTTATTGTGCTTCTTCTCCTACTTGGATCATTGACTCCGGAGCTACCAACCACATAACAGGAGCCTACCTTAACCAACCAAGTAACCTTACTAAAACCCATCACAAACATATTGTTACTGCCAATGGTGAAATGTTAAACATCATTGGTAGTAGTGATCTGTCTCTTAAGCTTTCACCCACTGCATCTTTCCCTCTTACCAAGACCCTTTTTGTTCCTAATCTCACTACTAACTTGATTTCTGTTGGCCAATTAATTGATGAATGTAAACATTCTCATTTTCTCTCAGGATGGATGTTTGATTTAGGACCGAAACACTAGGAAGGTGAAAGGGAAGGGGTGCATGTTGGGCCGTCTGTTTCCATTGGAGTTTGAGAAGCCTCAAACAGCAGCATCATCAGTTTATTTCAGTTCCTCCACTTCTAGTTCCTTTCTGAGTCATAGAAATAATGTTTGGGACTTATGGCATAAACGTTTGGGTCATTTACATTCTAAAAAGTTGAAATTTTTGTTTGATTCAGGCCTTATTAAGAATAAAGTTCCTTCCTTGCACACCTTTGATACATCTTGTTGCTTAAGTAAGAGTCATACCTTACCATTTCCTCACATATCTGAGCATGTTACCTCTCCCTTCAAGCTTAGACATAGTGATGTCTGGACTGCTTCTGTCTCTTCTCGGCTTGAATACAAATATTTTGTGTCGTTCATTGATGATTGTACCAAGTAGACATGGATATACTTTCTTTGCCACAAGTCTAAGGTGTTCTCAACATTTAAGTTGTTTCATGCTATGGTGCGGGTTTGGTTTCAATCACAAGTGCGTATTCTCCGTTCGAATTCAGGGGGAGAATACACTGATAGAGATTTTTTATCCTATTTAAAGGACCATGGAATATAAGTGCAATGAAGTTGTCCAGATACTCCTTAGCAGAATGGTGTGACCGAGTGCAAGAATGGACATATCCTTAGTGTTGTGAGGGTATTATTGCAGGAGTCCCATACTCCACCTTCCTTCTGGGTAGAGGCAGCCAATACAACTGTGTTTTTGATCAACTATATTCCTTCCTCAGTTCTTGGTAATATGTCTCCCTTTCAGAAGTTATTTGGTCGTTTTCCAGATTTATCTATGCTTCATGTTTTTGGATGTGTGTGCTTTGTTCATCTTCCCTCTTGTGAGCGTTCTAAATTGTCTGCACAGTCTGTCATGTGTGCCTTTGTGGGTTACAGTCCTGTCCACAAAGGATTCTTTTGTTACGATCCCTCTATTCGTCGCATTCGTATATCACATAATGTTGTTTTCCTTGAGCACATTTCATTTTTTGTTGGAATTGTTAGATTGTCCACATCGTCTGTTTCTATTTTGCCAAACTTTGATTCATAGGATGCTCCACTTCCTTCTACTGAGATGGACTTTCTCGTCTTCTCTCGCAAGCGGTTACGTGCTCCAGCGCCTGTGTTATGGATGCATTCGTGGGAAGGACATACCGCCGCCGGCAGCAGCAGTGATGGGGGGGCCCACACAGCAGCTTATCTTGCCACGTCAACTCATCTTGCCAGCTCGCCATTAGTTTACTTTATCCAGTTTTGTTCTTACTTATCCCTTATCCAGTTCTGTTCTTACTTATCTATTAGAGATAGGAACTAAGTTCTGTTAGAAGTCTGTTAGAAGTAGTAGTTTGATTTAAAGTTGGATTGTCCTAGCTTAGTCGAATGGAATAAGGAGTCTCCTCTTGTAATCTCCTATATAAGGAGCTGTGAATTGGGAATAAAGCATTCAGTTTTCCAATTAAGAGAAGAGTGAGGAGAGTTCGGGTGGTCTCTCGGACAAATCACCCATTCGGTTTTCCACAATAGGATTTGCACGCAAGGGAAGGCACAAGGGGAAGCAAGAGGTTCTCCCCGTGGACCGACCCGTGACGAGATCCTATGCCCGGGCCCATAACATTCTGGTATCAGAGCCTACCGTCATGGGGGAACAGGAGCCGCTGTCTTCCAGGGTCCACGAACTGGAGCATAGGCTCGCAGAAACCAGCATGGAGATTCGTGAAATCAAGGATGATGTCCGGGAGCTGCGATGCCTGCTGGAAGCGTTTCTCTCCAACAAAGAAAGAAGTTTTGAGGGAGCCGCCACCACCAACAGTCGCCGTCCGGACTTGGCAGAGACGTCTAGCGAACAACAGATCGCTGCCCCGGCAGCCACGGTTATTCCCAAGTATAGCTGGCTGGAATTCCCGTCTTACAATGGCACCAGAGACCCGTTAGGATGGTTGTATCGCTGCGAACAATTCTTCCGTAATCAGCGCACTGATGACAAAAATAAGGTCAGTCTGGCCGCCTTCCACCTATCGGAAGAGGCACAACTCTGGTTCTACCGACTGGAGCAGGAAGAACCCGGGCTCAGCTGGGGGCAATTTAAATCATATTGCCTCCTTCGGTTTGGACCCCCGTTGACAAGCAACCCGCTGGGCGAGTTAATCAACCTCAAGCAAACTGGAACCGTGGCAGAATACCAACGCCAGTTCCAAACCCTTCTTGCCAGAGCAACCTCGGTTCACGCATATCAGCAAGTTGATATGTTCACAACGGGGCTAGCAGAACCCCTAAGGGTGGATGTGGAGATGCAACGCCCTCCCAACCTGGTCACAACAATGAACCTCGCACGCGCCTTCGAACGGAAGCTGCAGCTCACCCAGGGAACCCTCAGTGCAGGTCGGCCAACAACGACCTGGGCTCCTTCGAAGGCAACAGGAGTGCCTCCTTCTTCAACCGCCAGCAGGGAACC